TGTAATGAGTGTAGGAGTCAGTTTCAAAAGGGCTATATAATCTAACAAAATTCCCAGTTCTGGGTGTTTGACACTCAAATAGCCCAGCACAGGATAGGAAATACTTCTCCCCAAATATTTCCATGGTCAGAAGTCATTCTGTAAATAGGTTTACCCAATATATCTATCTCTGAAGAGTTGTCTTTCATTTGGGTGTTTACATAGCAGGTACACATCCCTGGATACTCATTGCTCCACAGTTAGTATGTTTTAGAAGAAGAGCAATATAAGGTTTGGGATGCCTTTCTGTCTGACAGTTACTAGGCAACTATGTCCAAATTCCACCATTAACAGGAATCCTATATTTGTGTCTGTGCATCTGCTTATTAAGGGTCCTCTCCTCCCATCAGTCTTCCAAGCCTAGGAAATATGTTGTGGAACACACCCAATGCATAGAGCTGATCACACAGTGGCTAGAGAGAACAGCTTGGAGAAGGAGCCCTGCCACAGTGACAGTCCCCTGTGCACACACTCATGTCTCCAAGGAGATGCCCACTGTTCCACTTGGACCCCACAAACTTCCTTATTCATGTACCACTCAACCATGAGTTCTGTGGAACTGCAACATGTCTTCTTAAATGTACCTCAGATTTGCACCAACCAGGCCGCCAAAAGAACAGAGTCCTGAAGTCTTTGAACTACCTCCCTTACACATAGGTAGAGCCCTCCCTTTGACCTTCCCAACCCAACCCAAGACTGAAGGGCTTCCAGATGGCAACAGAAGCTCCCATGAGCTCCTGAGCAAAATGAATTTTGCCTCTTTGTAGGATAGCAAGGGCTAAGGAGCTGTCTTCTCAGCCTGGGTTGTCCACCTGTCTATGTACTTACTATTAAAATGATACCCTGATGCCTACAGCTGTGCCAAGAACTAAAGGAACCAGCATGGGACAAGGGTGTAGCCACAGTCAAATGGCACCCACTAGCGTCTAATGGTCCTCTCTCCATTTCAGGCTTCTTCTCATTCTAGTATCTCTGGGCTCCAGGCTACACCCCGGCCAGAGGCTCTGACTCCAAGAACACCAAGATGGAGAAAATCGATTGCATTTAATCGAGAGCTCACCACTGGAGATGTTTTTGTAAAAGCTTCCCGTATGTAAAACACGTAATGTGGGGAGCTCTTAACGTGTTTCTTGTTACACGACCACTGCACGTTTGTCCAGAGTTCGGGGCTTTCAACTCACATAAGGTTTTATGTGATCGTTATAAAATCCCTTCATTTCCCAAAGGCAGGGTAGTAAGGATTAAGCTTGACTACTGAAGACAGCTTTGTTGTAAATGGTCTCTAATGTCACAGAATAGCTTGGGAAGAGAGGCTTATTAAACAAATTTCGTGGGTTACAAATCATTAGAAGCAATCACCCACCGTGTCAAGTTCATTTGCTTAACCTGAAAGGTATCCATTTAGATGCTTAAAGGAACTATGCAAATTGACATGGTTCCCAGTGCCCACAGGAAAGCTGGCTGATGTTAGAGAAAACCCAGGGAGTCCCTCGGAGAACTCGAAGGCTATATTCAAACACAACTTCTTATGGTTTTCTCAACTCTTCTGAAAAGCAAGCAAGCAAACAAACAAACTTATGGAGATGTAGGGCCCGAGGTGAATAAGAGACTATCTGTTAACTCTAAGATGGAAACCCCAAAGGCCTCTCATTCATCCAGGCTAATGGATAGACTTCTCCTATGGAGGGGTCAGAGGTGGCTCTGTGAGAGACAGGGCAACAAACCTGCTCTTGGATGTCCTGACCTAGCTTGTCTCCCTCACTATTTCTCCCACCAGCCTACCACCCCATCTAGAGCAGTCTATGTTTATTTATTGATGGGAAGGGTAGTTGGTGAGGACACCTGGGTTGGGTTGGGTTGGGAATACTTTAGGTATTTTAAAAAATGATTTCACAAAGGAGAAATACTTGCTGTAGCCTGGACAAAGAGACTGGGTTTTAGTTTGGTTTATGGAAGAACCCAGGAAGTTATACTAGAATCCTTCACTTCCACAGGCCCAGTTCTGGTCAGAGGACAGTGACTTCTTCCAATTGCCTCTCAGTTCCTGATCCTCCCAGAAAGGGGTCTTGAGTTCTGCGGGGAGTTACATGCATGGTCCACGGCCTGCTCTGGGTGACAGCACTGTTCTGCTTCTCTTGCTCACCCTTTTGGATCCTCGATAATCCACTTCAGTGGCTTTGCTCTCAGGGAGACATTTGCATCCGTATTAGGAAGGATGGAGATTCAGATGTCACTACCAGTCTCATTTCCATCTTTCCCCTTCCCCATCAAGGCTCAGATATGTTTGAATATGAAATTTCCCCAAGGGCTCATACCCTGGGTGTTGTCAGCTGATGGGCTTTGGAGAAATTATTGGATTCTGAGGGCTCTGACCTAATCAATGGAATAATCTTTTGATAGATTCATATGTTTTCATTTGTGTGTGTGTGTGTGTGTGTGTGTGTGTGTGTGTTTGTACAGGTGCACGTGTATTACTCCACATGAGTGGAGGTCAGAGGACAGTCTGCAAGAGTTGGTTTTCTTCCTCCTCTGTGTGGGTCCTGGGAACTGGACTCAGGTGTCGAGGTTTGGAGGCAACCAGCTTTGTCCACTGAGCCATCCCTCTTCCACTGGATCCGTGATTTGATGGCATCACTGAGAGGTGGTAAAAACTTGTAAAAGGGAAGTCCTGGATGTGAGAAGTAGGTTCACTGGGTGTGTGACCTGGAAAAATATCTCTCATCTTCTGCCTTTTTCTTTCCTTCCCTTCCTGTCCAACCTGAAGTGAGCTGTTGGCTCTGACCTTGTCACATTCTCTTGCCTCATCATAGCCTAGAAACAAGGCCAGCCTATAGTGGCCTGAAATTGTGAGCCAGAAATAGTAGCTCTTCCCTTTGTTTTTCTCAGACACTTGTCATAGCAATGAAAAGTCTGACTGGCCACACTCAGAAAGTCTTATTAAAATGTAATCCAGATTTTATTTGCTTATTTATTTTATGTGTATAGGTATTTTCTCAACATATAGTGTGTGCTTGGTGCCTGGAGAAGCCAGAATAAAGCATTGGATCCCCTGGGACTGGAGTTACAGACAGCTATGAGCTGTCATGTGGGGGCTTGGAATTGAACCCAGGTCTTCTGGAAGAGTAACCAGTGTTTTTAACCTCTGACCTTTCAGTTCTGCAACCCAGATAATTTGAAAAGTTCTTATATTAATGATATCTGCTTCAGAGTGTATTTGTTGCGATCTCAACAGGAACTCTGATTTAATCTTGGTGTTTTTCCTATTTAGTCCTATTTAGTCCTATTAGAATCCTTGTTCTAATTGGGCCATATCAGTGTCAGGCTATATGGGACCTGGCAAATAGTATCCTTACTCAATGGTCTGTTGTTATCCTATGAGCACATACAATATGTAAGTATGGTCTGCATGTGCACAGCATAGATTCTTATGAAATTACTGTACCTATGATGAACTTAAGGACCCAAAGAAGTCAGAGTTTCCTAAAGCATCTCAGGGAACCAATTAGGAAGAGTAGGACCCAGGATGAACTGTTTTGTGTCTCTTTTCCCTGAGCATAAATACCTGTGTCTGTCTGAGCACAGTGTTGAGGAGGTATGCTGGAGGAAGGGCTGGGAAGGGGCTCACTCATTTCTGAGAGATCTGTCCATCCTGGAGGGGAAGGCACATGGTAGAAGCAGCTAATCAGGGCACAGAGAGTTGGATGCTGGTGCTCCTTTTGTGTTCTCCTTTGTTCCTTTTTCATCCAGCCTGGGACCTCAGCTCTTAGAGAGCTAGAACTACCCACATTCAGGGAGGGTCCTTGGTTAACCCTCTGGAAATCCCTCCCAGACAGGCCTGGAGATGTGTCTCCTACGTAATTACAAATCCAGTCAAGTTGATGAGAGTAGCCATCACAGAAGTACTCCTAGGCTTGATCTGACCACCTCATGCACCTAGGAGCCTAGTTTATCTTCTATCAGTAGTTATTCTTAGCATGTCAAGAGGAGGTGACATTGGAGGTGAGGAGGGATGACCTCAAAGGGTTAATGATGGCCTCTGTGAGTCACTGGGGTTCATCACACAATACACTTTGATGAGTTTCTCTGGGCAACAATTTGTAAAGGCCCCTTCAAGTACTAGTATTTGGGCCAAATCCAAGCAGTAGAGCTACACATTGGGAAGGGGAAGGTGTCAACAGACAAAACCCAGGAGAGTCGCAGCATGGTTCTTATAACACGTGCATCTGGGATGGGACCCGAAACCACTAACATAAAATAAATAAGCTTCAGGGTAATTTCAACCCATGCTATCTGACTTGATGGACCAATGTCCACGGGCCTCCAATCAAGTGCCACAGATGGGATGGCTTGAAATACTGGAAATTTATTTACAGTTGAGGAGGCTGGTAGCCTCACCTCCTGTCAAGCATCTGGTAGCTTGCTTTCTGCTCCTAGGGACAGCAGATCTAGCAGAGTCGGGCCCTCCTAACTTGTGTCCGCATCTTCATGTGTCTCCTCTGCGTATTTCCAAATAAGGCTGCAAGTGCCAAGAAGACCAAAAAGGCAGCCCTGGCCCAACTTGCAGGTGCAGACCCATTTGGGCAGTGACCCGGATTCCTAGTGGGCCTAGTGGTTCCACCACCCCACCGGCACGCGCTTCAGAAGACAGACTGTGACTGTGTCACAGTGGCTAACTGGGACATGCGGTGGTGAGGCGGATGCGGCACGAATTCCAGGGTGGGCTAGGAACCAGTTTCAGGTCCAGAGAGCCCTGGTATAGGAGCCAGTATCTAGAGAGAAAGCGCAGAGCTGCAGTCTGGCTTTACACACTGGGCATGCTCTGGCTGCAGAGAGCCCGCCCTAGGCTCCCCGCCCAGCTTCCGGCAGCTCCTGGCCACGCTTACCTTTCACTCTCGCCTTCCACCCTCACTACTCAGCGTCCACTGTAACTTGACTCTCTAGGCCCCACCCCGAATACCAGGCCCCGCCCTCAGCTCATGCGTGCTCTGCGATCCATGCTTTTCAGTGTTAGAGCCTGGCTTTTCAGGCGTCCAGGTCCTCTGCGCCATTGCAAGTTGCTGAGTGTCTGCACAGTTTGCAAGCTGGTGAGTCTCGGGGCATAGTGTGGGGCCCTCTCTGGAAAGAGCGGAAGTCCGGAGCCCAGGGAGACAGTCGCTGCTCTGAGTTGTTCTAAGGGCTCCTTACTTTCTCCAGAACCTCTACCCGCCCTGTACAGCCTGCACCGAGTATGCCCTATTTTCCTGGACTTAGAGTGAAGTGGGCTGACCTGCCTGGCCACTGTGCCTGTATCCTGCTACAACTCCTGATGCCCAACACTTTTCAAGCCTCTGCTGGACCCTGCAGGTCCTCTGACTGTCCTCTTTTCCTTCACTGCTGACCAGGGAGCGAGGACCCATTTTACTCCTGAGGAAGCTACAATTAGTGCTTGCTGAGATCCTCTTGCATCAGGCAGTGCTTCTCATACAGTTCCTTCCTTCTTGAGAAAATAACCAAGTCCCAGGGTCCTGCAGCATCATGGCTGATGTTAGGCACATCCATCCGGTCCAAAGGTCATCTTTACACTTTTGTAGCAAACAGATGGCGTTAAACAGCCAGGTACTTCTTAAATCAGTGATAGTACAGTGACAGCAGGCCATGTACTTCTCATCGGGTGAGTCTAGATCTTTCTTCTGGGAAGTCTTAGCAGTTTTACTCCTAGATGCCTCATCCAGAAATGGATTGTTCTGAGAATCAAGGTTTGAGAGAGAAAGAGAGACAGAGACACACACAGAGAGATAGAGACAGACACACAGAGAGATTTTGTGTGTGTGTGTGTCCATCTTCAGACACAACGCAGTTTGTGAAAAGGGTATAATACACCCTGCAGAGCCTATGTTAGACCCAGATGATTTTATTAACGTCATGTGTCTCATGATGGCTGCAATACTTGTGGTGATGCAGCCTTAGGTGATTGTGGGGATGTAAGAAGCCTGGTTTGTGGTCAGTGTCCTGTAATCTTAGACATGTTATTGGAGCATCTGCCAGAGTCTGAGAGTGACTGGGCAGAATGGTACTGTACTACTGGTCTATCTGAGGCTTCATCCCTTCCTGGGCTCTCTCTGGTCTTGACCTAGAATTTGGCAGTGATATGCTGTCTCACCTTCTGAGGTCTGTGGCAACCAGGCTGCAAGAACTCTGCTATGCTAAAGGTACTGTTCTATTGGAGTATTCTTTTTCACTGCTAAACAATACTATCTATATATGTGGCATGGCTTTGAAGAGATCTCTGTTATTATGGAAGGTTTAAGAAGCAGAGCGCCAGGTTAGGCAGCTGTGTCTTGAACGGCAGCCTTTCTGTGGAACGCAAAAGGCACCAGTTTTGGGTCCTGTTCTAGATCAGTAGGCCTCATCTGGGTCTGTCTCTACCTCCTTCCCTCATTGGGCCTACCTTCACAGGCATGCCATTGTCTTAGTTTTCTGTTGCTGTGCAGTCAAAAACTGTGATAGAGCAGCTTGGTGAGAGAAGGGCTTGTTTGTTTTCATGTCCTGATGACAGTCCGCCATGAAGGGAAGGCAGACCAGGAACTCAAGAAGGGCAGGAACCTGGAGGCAGGAGCTGAAGCAAAGACCATGGAGGGATGTCATTCACTGGCTTGCTTTTTTATGACTTTCTCAGTGTAAATGGAGTTCTTAATTGGCCTAGACAATAAAAGCCAGAGTCAGATATAGAGGGGAATGCTGAGAGATCAGAGAGAAGGAGCAAGCCACAGCACACCTTACCTCCTTAGTGTCTCAGCAGACAAGAGATCAATTTCCTGTTTCAACCTTCTTATATACTGTTTTGGCCAAGCTACTTTACTTCCTGTCTGTCTGCACAGACCTCCAGACTTATGTGGTTAGCTAGTGGCAAGTTCCATTCTCTGAACCCAGATAGGCTTTATTTAAATAAGCAAGATATCACTACATCTCAGCCTACTTTTTATGTACCTCAGGACTACCTGCCCAGGGTACCCATAGTAGGCTGGGCCCTTCCACGCCAGTCATCTATCAGCAGAGACGTGCCCACAGGCCAGTCTGATTGAAGTAGTTTCTCACTTGAGGTACTCGCTTCCTAGATGACCTGAGTTTGTGTCAAGTTACAAAAATACTGCCCAGTTCAGTCAGTCAAGGCCCTCTTTTTCCTTAATCCAGAGATACAGGCAGGAAGGACACCAGAGTTGCTTCCCTCCTTTCTTTCCCAGGAGACCAACATACAGCACTTGTTGATAGATGCAAGCTGAGTTTGGTGGCTCAGGCTTCTAATCTTAGTGCTTGAGAGGCTGAGGCAGGAGGATTGCCAGGCATTAAAGGACATTTTGGACTACGTAGTTGTTGCAGGTTACTTTGAGTCAGGGTGAAACTCTTGTGTCCACAACACAACCAACCAGCCAACCAAACAGCACAATTAAGTTGTCAGCATTGTTTTTAATTTACAGAATACAAACATTTAGGGTTCAGTGGTCAGATCATAAAGACCAATTCCTTGGCAATGGCTTTCTTAGGTGTTCAATCTCATTTTGATAGGCAGCAATGGGAGTGTAACTATTGTCTCATTTCCTGTTTCTAGGCACATGATCCTCTACTTGGGATATGGCTACCCACTCCCCCGACTAAACTGAAAACACTGTAAATCAAAAAGGGAGCATCATCTGACTGACTCCCTGAATAGCCCCACTCAATAGTACAGCACGCCATGCCACAGACTCACATGCCATCCAAACTTTTGACATGAATGTCATTGTAAAGTTCACACTTGAAAATCATGCAGTTGAGTTATTAAAAAAAAATCGCAAAACTCTCATAATATTTTAGTATGTTTGTAACTTTTTTTGTTGGGCCACATTCATTGCTGTTCTCAGCCACGTGTGACCCATTGGGCACAGGTTGGACCTGCTTGTGTCTGTGATTTGTGTTCTTAATGCTTTGTACTATGGAAAAGTACAAAAAGTTGGGTGTACCATGAAAACTTGGGACAGTCATATCTCTTCACATGTCATGGTGACCTTGCAAATGCCCAACTCTGGTGTAAAGTCCCCCTGTAGATCTACTTTCCCCCAGGTCTTGGCTTCTGGTTGGGTCTGTGTTACCAAGAGTCTCTCAGGCCCTGATGACCCTGGTTAGGCTACTACAACAGCTATGCCTGGTCCTGTCTGGTTGAGTGGATGACTTTATCCAAGTTCTTACTAAAGGCATTGATGTCTGATTGCTGACCATTATTTAAATAAAGCCTGAAGGTTCAAATCAGACCTGTCGACCGATATTCCACTGAACAGAGTATGGCTTCTGCCAGTCTGTCCACAGAGATTGATAAACAGACTGGCCCACACCAGTTCTGGGGTCTGAAGTGAAAAGGACAGCTTGTCTTGAAGGGAGTAGGTCTTTGCTGGAGGCTGACTCTGCCATGGCTGGCAGGATGGATTTTCTTGTTGTTTGCTGTGGAGGCCTGTGCTAGGCATAGCTAGATAAAAGTTGAAGATGCTGCTTTGTGGCCTGAATATGGTGTGGTGCCTGTCCTTGTTATTCAACTGTGGCAATAGTCAAGTTTTTGACTTAAACATTAGCAGTAACAAAGGACTCACTGAGTAGGGCTGTGTCATTTGGGGAAAGCCACATAATGAATATGAGCTGCATAATGAGTGAGACTTATCCCTCCCTTTCTGTAGCTGTTAAAATGATTGGCCTTAAGAAGAGGACTAAATCCTTTGGTGACCTTTGTGACCTTGAAGGAATCAGTGCCTTGGCAGCTGTGGTTTCCATGCGAGGGGTCACAGGCTGGGTCTACCAAGATGCCAGGCATCCCTGGGTTAAGCCGGCCTCCTGCGCCTTGCTCCAGAGTCTGCCCCAGTGAAATGACCAAGTAGACAGGCCATGCCCAAAGGCTACAGACACAGTGGTGACTCTTGTTGATGGTTAAAACTTGTTTTCTGCACTCCCAGCTGGAGTGAACTCATTTTGGCCTGCAACATAAGAGTAAGACCAGTTAACAAATTCTACAGAAACATCTTAAAGCTTTTATTTGTTGTCATGTATAACCAGAAAAGGAACAGTGAAAGAGCAATAAATGCCCGATGTGTCCACTCTGCTACTAAAATTTTCTTGTTAGAATACTTTCCTACCCATAACACTTGTGAAATCAGCTCTCTATCCAGCCCAGCTCTGGGGCCCATTCCCAGAAGTCCGAAGGTGACACCAAATGCATAGTCCACCAATGGCATGGCTCATAAAAGCAGGCACTTGTTAAATCTATTTGTTTTATTATAGACATTGATCTGCCAGTTGCAATAATGCATTTATGGACATTTTTCTGCAAGTGCAGCGCTGGTGGCAGTTTTTACTGACAAATCGAGTCATATGGGTAATAGTTCAGAGCATTTTTAGCCTATTGACAGATTAGCTGGTCCCAACACTGGATTTCAGAGTATTGGTGGGTGAGGAGAGAAAAAGGCTCTCAGAACAAAGTAGGGGCTGGGACTTTAGACATGGAGATGTTAGATGTAAACATGGTATTTAAAAAGCTGTTATTTCTCATTTGTAAACTTAGCTAAATTGGAATGTAGACAAAAGGTGAGAAGCCAGGAATGTCACCTTTGGGTTGGTCTGTTGTTAATATGGTTGCTCAGATCCATGGCTCCAGCAAGACCAGATATGGCAACCCAGTGGGTGTTCATGGGCTGCCCTAAAGGTGGTCTGAACTCTGTGGGTATCAGAATTTCTAAGAGCTCTGGTTCCCAAGGTGGGAGGGCCCTATGGCAGGAATATAGGATTGAAGCCCAGGGATCATCAGCTTGTGGGCTCTGGGAGGACTCTGCTTGCCCTCATGCTTGAGCCCTTGAGTTCATCTTTAGGGTAAAACAGGAAAGAGAATGTTGCAGCTCAGACCAGCTCCAAAGCCCACTTCCAGCTGGATCCACCTGTGCTTAGCATGAGTTGTTCAGCTTCATGGATCTGTGTATGTTTTCTACTCTTTAGAGACATGTGACTCTTCATCTTGCAAATCCAACATGTTATCATCACATTATAACTTTTAGTTTTGTGGTTCTGACAGCAGATGATTCCAGAATTCTGA